TTGCATTTTTGCTTCTCACTGCCATCTACATAAGTGTTACATGATGAGTGAGAGAGACCGGTATATATTGGATCTCGCTTTCACAATGGAGTTGGCCGTCTGGTAGTAGTCTGTGCAACACTGCTTTAAAGTGACAAGTTAAATAACTGCCATAGTAACGACACGTTTTCTATCAAAAAACAATTCAAAGTTCACTTTAATTTTTCTTGCTAATTTAGAGACCTAAATTCCTATGTTACCTTTTTATTGATATTTTGATGTAAAATCATTTCGCACAAAACGTAGCTTATTATTAGTAGAAAATGCTTACACACGCTGTTTTTTGTACGATAACCGGTGTCCTGTATCTCGAAAATGGTGCATTTTAGTTAGATATTAACTACAATACTATATCCTACGCATATATTATGAAACACCCTGTATATACTACATATTTTAAATTCAACTTACTGTGTGAGCAGCAGCAGAAAGTGGTGTACGTTGTATTGGAGTCCTTTTATGCACCCTATTATCCCATAATACAATTTGGCCGGAATATGTTCCTCCCAAAATCAAATTTGGATGAAACCGTGCGAACTTCGAAGACATTACAGCACTTTGACAGTGAAAAATAAATTCAGGGGTGGTCTTTTTAAACTTGGTGTTCCAAACCAAAGCGACGCCATCCGGCTCATTTGGCATCTCTTCGTTATTCCCGTACGAAGCGAGCATTAATTCCGGGTATTGAGGACACCAATCGATCGATGACACGGTACGATTTTTCGACCAACGTTCGTCGAAAAACCACCGATTCAAAGAAATCCTCTGGTGGATTTTATCATCTAACGCATCATCACCTCGACCTCGGCTATAATCGTTGTAGATATCCGCGTTTTCAGCTAGGGCTCGCTCAACGATTTTTCCAGCTTTATCCATAAAGACTTGAAATTTTTCTGAGAGAACTATTGTTTGTTTTTGTTCTTCACTTAATTCTTTAACTAATAACAAGAAATTAATTAATTAATTTTTAATGAATGAGTTAAATGAAATGAATTGAAACATACTTTCTTTTTTAGTTTCTTGTTTAGCTTGTTCTTGTTCGACAACTGTAACAGCCGGTTGGACCTCTTTGACTTGGGGTAATCCGTGGGCGAGAATCCCGGGGGGTAATTTGCTCCCAAATCCGCCGATATGGGGAAGACTGCCTTCTTCATCTTCACCTTGCCCATCGTCATACGTCAAAACTGTGGTGAATAAGGTGCCGTTCTCATATTCATTCACACACAATTCATGCACTCGATTCTAATCTTTTTGCTACTCTCCCAAATTAAGATAACTTAACAACTAAACTTCCACCTTTAATTGTAATCATGCGCTCAAAATTCTTTTCGAACTAGATAACGGGATAAATAAATAAATAAGGAAAAAAGCAGCCGGGTTCGTCTCTTTAAAGAAATAAAAACTTACATAAAAAGAAACGCAAACGGATTTGAATCAATTCCTTTCCATCTTTGACACAACGCAAACGTACACACGACTCATTATGTTAGGTGTTATTTTTTTAATAAGTAAAGCATGCATGTTAATTAATGTTTAAATAAAAATTTAAAACAAAGAATTTTCTAATTAAATAATTTGTAACTTTATGAATAAAACTAGCTAACAGTTAATGAAGCGGTGACAAAGTAAATAATAGCGTAAACTACGTTTTTGTGCAAAAATTTGTTGGTTTAAAAATCCAAAAAAAAAATTAATTAAATAAACAAAGTTAAGAAATGGAAGAATCTCCTTAAGCAGACCTACCTGTGAACTCGTCTTCCCACTCTAGACCAGGATTTAGATTGTATTCGTCTTCGGAGGAAAGAAATATTAAAATTATCAATTAGGGATGATTGTTTTAGCCTTTTTCGAAAAATTTCAACAAAACAATAAACTGTTAACTAATTTTTAATTAATAAAAAATTTTTGGCTGCACGAATTTCGAATTATTTGGTCTTTTTCACAAGTAACTCAAGTCAATTAGTAACATGCAAATGATTTTTTACCTCACCCCAATTTCGGTAATAATTAAAAACCCCCCAACACCCAATCGACAAAGGAAGTATCAGAACTGTCCCAAAAAACCACTACAGTGTGTTAATTAATTATCGGACCCGAAGACATCATTGAATAAGTATGACTATAATTAAACTTATTCTAAATTAAAGCTCAAAGCTTTCTTTTTAAAATTGGAAAAATATTGAGAAAAAAAATGTTGAAACAAAACTTGCATTTTCGTATAACCTAAAAGTGTCGAAAAAGATGCTAATTTAAAAATTCCGGGAAACCGTATTTATTGAAATTAAGGAATGAGACTTATTCTAAATTAAAGCTCAAAGCTTTCTCTTTACAATGATGTATCATAAGTGTTGGGTTGGATTGGAAAAATATTGAGAAAAAAAATGTTGAAATTAAACTTACATTTCCGTATAACCTAAAAGTGTCAAAAAAGATGCTAATTTAAAAATTCCTGGAAGCCGTATTTAATGAAATTAAGGAATGAGACTTGTTCTAAATTAAAGCTCAAAGCTTTCTCTTTAAAATGATGTATCATAATTATTGGGTTGGATTTAAAAAATATTGAGAAAAAAAATGTTGAAATAAAACTTACATTTTCGTATAACCTAAAACTGTCAAAACAGATGCTAATTTAAAAACTTCTGGAAGCTGTTCTTATTGAAATTAAGGAATGAGACTTGTTCGAAATTAAAGCTCAAAGCTTTCTCTTTAAAATGATGTACCATAATTGTTGGGTTAGATTGGAAAAATATTGAGAAAAAAAATGTTGAAACAAAACTTACATTTTCGTATAACCTAAAACTGTCAAAACAGATGCTAATTTAAAAACTTCTGGAAGCTGTACTTATTGAAATTAAGGAATGAGACTTGTTCGAAATTAAAGCTCAAAGCTTTCTCTTTAAAATGATGTACCATAATTGTTGGGTTAGATTGGAAAAATATTGAGAAAAAAAATGTTGAAATTAATCTTATATTTCCGTATAACCTAAAAATGTCAAAAAGATGCTAATTTAAAAATTCCTAGAAGCCGTGTTTATTGAAATTAAGGAATGAAACTAATTCTAAATTAAAGCTCACAGCTTTCTCTTTAAAATGATGTATCATAATTGATGGGTGGGATTGGAAAAATATTGAGAAAAAAAATGTTGAAATTAAACCTACATTTCCGTATAACTTAAAGTGTCAAAAAAGATGTTAATTTAAAAATTCCTGGAAGCCGTATTTAATGAAATTAAGGAATGAGACTTGTTCTAAATTAAAGCTCAAAGCTTTCTCTTTAAAATGATGTATAATAATTGTTGGGTTGGATTGGAAAAATATTGAGAAAAAAAATGTTGAAATTAATCTTATATTTCCGTATAACCTAAAAATGTCAAAAAGATGCTAATTTAAAAATTCCTAGAAGCCGTGTTTATTGAAATTAAGGAATGAGAGTTGTTCTAAATTAAAGCTGAAAGCTTTCTCTTTAAAATGATGTATCATAATTGTTGGGTTGGATTGGATAAATATTGAAAAAAAAATTGTTGAAATTAAACTTACATTTCCGTATAACCTAAAAGTATCAAAAAAGATGTTAATTTAAAAATTACTGGAAGCCATATTTATTGAAATTAAGGAATGAGACTTGTTGTAAATTAAAGCTCAAAGCTTTCTCTTTACAATGATATATAATAATTGTTGGGTTGGATTAAAAAAATATTGAGAAAAAAAATGTTGAAATTAAACTTACATTTCCGTATAACTTAAAAATGTCAAAAGAGATGCTAATTTAAAAATTCCTGGAAGCCGTATTTATTGAAATTAAGGAATGAGACTTATTCTAAATTAAAGCTCAAAGCTTTCTCTTTAAAATGATGTATAATAATTGTTGGGTTGGATTGGAAAAATATTGAGAAAAAAAATGTTGAAACAAAACTTACATTTTCGTATAACCTAAAAGTGTCAAAAAAGATGCTAATTTAAAAATTCATGGAAGCCGTATTTAATGAAATTAAGGAATGAGACTTGTTCTAAATTAAAGCTCAAAGCTTTCTCTTTACAATGATGTATCATAATTGTTGGGTTGAATTGGAAAAATATTGAGAAAAAAAATGTTGAAATTAATCTTATATTTCCGTATAACCTAAAAATGTTAAAAAGATGCTAATTTAAAAATTCCTGGAAGCCGTGTTTATTGAAATTAAGGAATGAGACTTGTTCTAAATTAAAGCTCAAAGCTTTCTCTTTAAAATGATGTATCATAATTGTTGGGTTGGATTGGAAAAATATNAATTTTGTGCGAACTTTTGGAATTGTTTGTGGCTATTGATTTGTTGGAGGAAGTGCTCAATGGGAATGCTATTTGGTTGTCCTTGCTCGATGGGAATGTTATTTTGGGGTCCTTGTTGGTGATTATTTAATAAATAGAAAGGGTTATCGTGTATTGTATTTGGATTAACGTATTGTTTATTTAATGGGTTTTGAACGTTATGAACTTCTAATACAGTTCCAGAAGGATAATTTGTAATCTCGGGATTTTGGTGAATAAGTTGAAGAAACTCATCGGGTGTCCCATGTTGCGCATGAATATGAACCGTGTTAGGAGGGGGCTGATTCATTTTATTATAATTATTAACGGGGTATTGAGGAATATAATTTTCATCGATATTTTGCCGGTTTATCAATGTCGAGTTAAATCTGTTAGATACGCAACTCATGGATAAACTTGCCTAACAGATAACCTCAGTGAACCGTTTATCCAGCAACTTTCTACCCGACAGGCAGCAACCTACGAGATAGAACATAGATGGTACCCCTGAGTGTTAACATTAGATACGGAAATGAAACGTAATTGGTGAAATTTGAATAATTAACTTTAGTTGATATAAACAGCTGATCGTGTTTTGGAGGTTATCATTCCTGTGTGCTTTCGGTATTGTGCTTTGTTTTCGAAAACCTCTGTTATAATGGACTTCCTACATGAATATTTATTAGACAGTGATAAAGATGAGGATATTGTCCAACTCTTAAATTATAAACGACGATTGCCAAATCCATCAGCAAGTTCTTTTCTGCAGTACTAAAATTTGATGATCATTTCTTTCTCTTGCTTATCCATCACCACAATTATAAACTTAATTTATTTTTGTCGTTATATTTTGATTTTATTGTCATTTCCTTTCACCAAGCTCACATTTTTTTGACAATATCTAATAGGTAAACCTTAACCAGTATTTCAATCTGGTGGATATCCAAATGTCATATTTATCTATAAGATTACCCTAAACTACGGGTGGATAAACGATACGTCGACGTTATGTATCAGCTACAATTTTAATTGACAGATAAATCGTCTTAACTAAATATTGATAAACCGGCCCTTAAGGTATTAATTGTTGTCTCTGACATCCAACGTTCTGTAATTCCTAATATATCTGTATTTGAGTTTGGTTTAAGTACATATTCTGAACATATTATTTGTTAGTTTCGAGTTGAAAATTAGTTATTAGAGTTGCAGCAATGTTTTTTACAGCAGTTTGAATTTTTCTTTCTATTATTTTCTCCAATTCCGATAGATTACTAACATAAATTTTATTATTAACGTCGTTTCGCGTTATTATTGAAACTCCTATGCAAGTAGGTATGCAACCAATATCGCAAATCGCGTATTGTAATACGCATAGTGTGATATTGGTTGCATACTTGCAATGATGACGTCGGGTACGGTAATTGTAATTATAATTAATTAACACAGTGTACATAAGAAAAATACTAATACTATTGCAGTACCAAATTGACACTTCTTCTGACAGTTCCCTTGTAAGTGTCTCAATCATGCATTAAAAACATTAATAATAAATTAAACATAAAGATTTTGATGCATGTTTGGGACATAAAAGGACGAATCAATTCATACCAAAAAATAAAATAAAATCACCATGTTAATACCTTGTTAGTAAAGTGCAAAATCAATCAAAAAAATGTTCAAAAATAATTTCAAGTGGTGCTCCTAAAAGGGATTTGAAAAGCGCACGGAGAAAAATATTCCACGAAAATCACATACAATCGTCATAAATCATCAATTCATCATAATCATTATAAATATAGAAAGAGAATGAGACAAAGCATGGAATAATAAAGTATATACAGCGTCAAAAAAATTTAAAGCGAGTTAGAAAATAAAAAATTAAAAAAGAATAAATTGGGTGTACCAAAAAATAAATTAAGATATGAGCAAAGATATGGGAGAAATGGATTTTGATTTAATACTTAATTAATAAAGAAAATTGTAATTAAATAAAAAAAAGCTACGAATACTTAAGAAAAAACCGTAAACTTACCGTAATAATCGGTTGCGTGAGCTATTTTTGGAAATTTCATAAAAAAAACAGAGAAAAAACATCTATTTTAGTAAACGTGATTGATTTAAATTAATTAATTAATTAAATTTTCTTTTTTATCAACATTTAAAAAGGGATTTAAGGAAACATACATATTAAAAAATTGAGCCATTAAATCTTTTTAAAAAAAGATAAAATTAATTTTTTGTACGGCTGCCTTCTTTATAATGAAATTTAACTCCTAAAATTCGTTTAAAGTAAAATAAAGAGATAAAGATGATTAAAATAGGATGTGCAGAAATGTATTAGCACAAAGGAAAGTCTTTCCAAGTGTTGAATCATATTTTTTATGAAATGAAAAATTAAAACGGTGCATTTGTTTTATAAATTTTTTATGCGAAGAATAAGAGATTTTCCTTTTCCTATGTATTAGGTACATTTACGTATATACAGAGTGTCCCGTGGAAATGATATATTAAGATTAACTGAAAAAACTTTAAATTTATAATTTGATATTTATCGTATTCTAAATCTTTATGGTTTTTCAACCTAACCTAAATAAACTATTAGGTAATGACAGTGAATAAGTGTTAAAAAATGTTTTTATAATTTGTTATTATCTAGTGCACTGTACTATTCAGAGGGAAATTAAAAATAGGTTATTTTAAAAAATTTTGTTAATAAAAGTTGTTTGTTATTAAATTTAAAACAAATATTGCTTATAAAGAATTTTGGTAGCATAAATAATTAAGTAGATAACCTCAAAAATTTGGATTGTTATACTAGTATACAGCACTACCTAGAAGAGATATTAAAACATTTTATTATAATAATATGTTCAAAATTAAATTCTAAATAAATCTTATACGAAACATTTTTCGATAAAACACTCAATAGGTTAAATATGCAATGATTTGTTATTATCTAGTGCACTGTACTATTCAGAGGGAAATTAAAAATAGGTTATTTTAAAAAATTTTGTTAATAAAAATTGTTTGTTACTAAATTTAAAACAAATATTGCTTATAAAAAATTTTGGTAGCATAAATAATTAAGTAGATAACCTCAAAAATTTTGATTGTTATACTAGTATACAGCACTACCTAGGAGAGATATTAAAAAATTTTATTATAATATGTTCAAAATTAAATTCTAAATAAATCTTATACGAAACATATTTCGATAAAACACTCAATAGGTTAAATATGCAATGATTTGTTATTATCTAGTGCACTGTACTATTCAGAGGGAAATTAAAAATATTAATATTATTGATTGTTATAGTAGTGTACAGGGTGGTTCAAATTCGCTGTCCGAATAGAATGTTACATATTAGAAAATAAAGTAAATTTTATATAAATTTTTAGTTATAGTACCGTAATTTACAGGAAACTGTAAATTTAATTTCTTTGACGACACTAAAAAAAAGTTTATTTTTAGCTTTATTCTAAAATAAGAAATAGATCTGTCAAACAATACATTTTTGTTATCAGAAAGAAATAACGAATTTAATAAGCGAATAATCAGTGGCTATTTCCATTTAAAAAAAAAAGAAAATTGTCATATCTCAAAATCTAAAACTGAAAAAATTTTTTTGATACGTCATCAAATTCTCTGTAAAAAAGTTTCTTGTGGAAAAATAAAAGAAGATAGCGCTTTGAGGTTTTCGGCATTAGCAGCTTCTCGAAAAACGAGATCATGACATGTAAGCTACTTTTTTTCTAACTCTTATAGTTTCCGAGTTAGCCTATTCGAACATCGAATTTGAACCACCCTGTACAGTAATACAATAAAGTCTACATACAGCTCGGAAAATGATAATATGTCAGCTCCCGAAATTTAATTCAATAAAATTTTTTAACAAAACATGTAAGAAAGTGCATATTATTTCCATATTTTACATAAAAACTATATAAGTTATTACAAAACATAATCATATCTCTAACTCAAAAAAGTCTATAAACAGTCCAAAAAAAAAGGTATATCAGTGTCCGTTATAGCTCATTAAAAATACCGGAAGTTGCTTATATCTCGAGTAATATTGGAATTAAACATGATGCATTTATATCAAAAAATAAAAAAGATAGAACAAAAAACATTAACCTTGAATATTTTTAGTTCTAGTTATAGTGTTAGTAACAGTGCTAGTATAAAACTAGAACTAACACTAGACCTAGAACTAAAAGTATCTAAGTTCTAGATTGCTCAGAACGATTGAAAACTGCATCAACATTGTCTAAAATTGGTTTATAAGGTAGCAAAATTGTTCAAAATGATTGGAAATAACTTCATGGCCATCTCATGTTATTCAAAATCATTGAAAACTGGTTAAGCATAATTTTATACTTGTCTAAATCATTAACAACTAGTGTTTAAACAATCCATGTTGCTCAAAATGACTAAAAATTAGTTGATAGTTATTAAAAACTTGTCTAAATATATAAGGACTAGTTTGTAGCAAATCTAGGTTGCTCAGAGTGATTGAAAACTGCACCAACATTGTCTAAAATTGGTTTATAAGGTAGAAAAATTGTTCAAAATGATTGGAAATAACTTCATAGCCATCTCATGTTATTCAAAATCATTGAGAACTCGTTGAGCATAATTTTATACTTGTCTAAATCATTAACAACTAGTTTTTGAACAATCCATGTTGCTCAAAATGACTAAAAATTAGTTGATAGTCATTAAAAACTTGTCTAAATTTATAAGGACCAGTTTGTAGTAAGTCTAGGTTGCTCAGAACGATTGAAAACTGCACCAACATTGTCTAAAATTGGTTTATAAGGTAGAAAAATTGTTCAAAATGATTGGAAACAACTTCATAGCCATCTCATAATATTCAAAATCATTGAAAACTGGTTAAGCATAATTTTATACTTGTCTAAATGATTTACAACTAGTTTTTAAACAGTCCATGTTGCTCAAAATTACTAAAAATTAGTTGATAGTCATTAAAAATTTGTCTAAATGTATAAGGACTAGTTTGTAGCAAATCTAGGTTGTTCAGAATGATTGAAAACTGCACCTACATTGTCTAAAATTGGTTTATAAGGTAGCAAAATTGTTCAAAATGATTGGAAATAACTTCATAGCCATCTCATGTTATTCAAAATCATTGCAAATTGGTTAAGCATAATTTTATACTTGTCTAAATCATTAACAACTAGTTTTTAGAGAATCCATGTTGCTCAAAATGACTAAAAATTAATTGATAGTTATTAAAAACTTGTCTAAATGTATAAGGACTAGTTTGTAGCAAGTCTAGGTTGCTCAGAACGATTGAAAACTGCACCAACATTGTCCAAAATTGCTTTATAACGTAGCAAAATGGTTCCAAATGATTAAAATTAGTTCATAGCCATTTCATGTTGTTCAAAATCATTGAGAACTGGTTGAGCACAATTTTATACTTGTCTAAATCATTAACAACTAGTTTTTAAACAATCCATGTTGCTCAAAATGACTAAAAATTAGGTGATAGTCATTAAAAACTAGTCTAAATGTATAAGGACTAGCTTATATCAAATTTAGGTTGCTCAGAACGATTGAAAACTGCACCAACATTGTCTAAAATTGCTTTATAACGTAGTAAAGTTGTTCCAAATGATTAAAATTATTTCATAGCCATTTCATGTTCTTCAAAATAATTGAGAACTGGTTGAGCACAATTTTATACTTGTCTAAATCATTAACAACTAGTTTTTAAAGAATCCATGTTGCTTAAAATGACTAAAAATTAGTTGATAGCCATTAAAAACTAGTCTAAATGTATAAGGACTAGCTTATATCAAATTTAGGTCGCTCAGAACGATTGAAAACTGCACCAACATTGTCTAGAATTGGTTTATAAGGTAGCAAAATTGTTCAAAATGGTTGGAAATAACTTCATAGCGATCTCATGTTATTCAAAATCATTGAAAACTGGGTAAGCATAATTTTATACTTGTCTAAATGATTTACAACTAGTTTTTAAAGAATCCATGTTGCTCAAAATGACTAAAAATTAATTGATAGTAATTAAAAACTTGTCTAAATGTATAAGCACTAGTTTGTAGCAAATCTAGGTTGCTCAGAGTGATTGAAAACTGCACCAACATTGTCTAAAATTGCTTTATAACGTAGTAAAGTTGTTCCAAATGATTAAAATTATTTCATAGCCATTTCATGTTGTTCAAAATCATTGAGAACTGGTTGAGCATAATTTTATACTTGTCTAAATGATTAACAACTGGTTTTTAAATAATCCATGTTGCTCAAATTGACTAAAAATTAGTTGATAGTCATTAAAAACTTGTCTAAATGTATAAGGACTAGTTTATATCAAATTTAGGTTGCTCAGAGTGATTGAAAACTGCACCAACATTGTCTAAAATTGGTTTATAAGGTAGCAAAATTGTTCAAAATGATTGGAAACAACTTCATAGCCATCTCATATTATTCAAAATCATTGAAAACTGGTTAAGCATAATTTTATACTTGTCTAAATGATTTACAACTAGTTTTTAAACAATCCATGTTGCTCAAAATTACTAATAATTAGTTGATAGTCATTAAAAATTTGTCTATATGTATAAGGACTAGTTTGTAGCAAATCTAGGTTGTTCAGAATGATTGAAAACTGCACCAACATTGTCTAAAATTGCTTTATAACGTAGTAAAGTTGTTCCAAACGATTAAAATTATTTCATAGCCATTTCATGTTGTTCAAAATCATTGAAAACTGGTTGAGCGTAATTTTATACTTGTCTAAATGATTTACAACTAGTTTTTAAACAATCCATGTTGCTCAAAATGACTAAAAATTAATTGATAGTGATTAAAAACTTGTCTAAATGTATAAGGACTAGTTTATATGAAATCTAGGTTGCTCAGAATGATTGAAAACTGCACCAACATTGTCTAAAATTGGTTTATAAGGTAGCAAAATTGTTCAAAATGATTGGGAATAACTTCATAGCCATCTCATATTATTCAAAATCATTGAAAACTAGTTGAGCGTAATTTTATACTTATCTAAATGATTTACAACTAGTTTTTAAACAATCCATGTTGCTCAAAATGACTAAAAATTAGTTGATAGTCATTAAAAACTTGTCTAAATGTATAAGGACTAGTTTGTAGCAAATCTAGGTTGCTCAGAACGATTGAAAACTGCACCAACATTGTCCAAAATTGGTTTATAAGGTAGCAAAATTGTTCAAAATGATTGGAAATAACTTCATAGCCATCTCATGTTATTCAAAATCATTGAAAACTGGTTGAGCATAATTTTATACTTGTCTAAATGATTAACAACTAGTTTTTAAACAATCCATGTTGCTCAAAATGACTAAAAATTAGTTGATAGTCATTAAAAACTTGTCTAAATGTATAAGGACTAGTTTATATCAAATCTAGGTTGCTCAGAACGATTGAAAACTGCACCAACATTGTCCAAAATTGGTTTATAAGGTAGCAAAATTGTTCAAAATGATTGGAAATAACTTCATAGCCATCTTATATTATTCAAAATCATTGAAAACTGGTTGAGCGTAATTTTATACTTGTCTAAATGATTTATAACTAGTTTTTAAACAATCCATGTTGCTCAAAATGAATAAAAATTAATTGATAGTAATTAAAAACTTGTCTAAATGTATAAGGACTAGTTTGTAGCAAATCTAGGTTGCTTAGAACGATTGAAAACTGCACCAACATTGTCTAAATCAACGATAAAAAACATTTTGATTTATCTAGCCAAGTCGTTAATATTAAAAAATCTTAAAGATTTAGATACGATATTGAACTTGACTTAATTTAAGTTGAGCTTAAACAAGATGAAGTGAATTACTTTTAAAGTTTTTTCATAAACCTCATCACCCTGTATAAACTTTAGAGTTTAATATACAATCGAAAAACTGTACCTTTGCGTGGCCTCCACCAGTCCTCCATGTAACCTTTAAGTGGAGAAGAAGATGCAGAAGATCCTTGTTAGCAACACATACAACAACATGTCACTAACGCAACTAAATAATTTCTTTTTCGTTTTTTTAATAAACCCCGATATTTAACAAATTTGCTAATTTGAAAAAGCTACTTTTCACATACAAATTACTAAAAAAAAACAATTTCAAAGTGCTTTTTTGAAATATGAGTTCAATTCAACACAGAAGCAATTATAAAAACAATAATAATACTTTAATATTGAACGTTGCTGCACTTTTTTCTTAGAAAACAATTTCTGATGTAGTAATAAATAATAATTAAATATAATAGGGCCTGATTAAAAATAAATCATTATTTTTGTTTTAAGTTTAGTTTACGTTACTCACACTTTCTCCATGTGGATGAATATCCGAAATAATCTAACACCACAACGAGCAGCATTAAAAGAGAATTAAATTAAAACTGAGATATTTATTTGTTCCTTTTTGCATGCTGATTTATTTGTTTCTTTTTTATCTTTAATCAGGCAATAAAAAGCAATTAAAAAAAAATAGCTAAATAATTTTTTTTCGATAAATTTAAATCATAAAATAAAAAATTAAAAAGCATCACATTCGTGCAGCCAACATAAAACAAATAAAATATAAATAAACTGAAATATGTAAGTTTCCTTTCTTAATAAGTACACAAAAAACAAAAATCTAATATATAGTTCGTTTTTTTTTCTGTAATACTTGTCAACGTAAATTTTTTAGGGTTTCTGTTGGTATTATCCAGCCCCAGGGATCTTTGATAGGAGAAATAAATTTCAAATATCGGCGTTGGAATAATTTACCATGATGTTCAATAACTTAAACCCGTCGTCAAATGTAACTAATGGCAACAATAATACAAACATGGACCAAAAACTGTCAAAATTCCATAGCTTTCTAATAAAAAAACCTGCATTTCGTGCATGTTTTAATAAATTTCGCAATATGAGGCAAACTACGATAAATAGGTATGGGAATGTTTATAGATAATTTGTAGAGAATTAAATTCTCTTTCTGATAGGATAAAAAAATATGGGTCGTTCCATTTAAAATTTTCGACTTTCTCGTAAATATGGAGAAAGAGTAATTCAATTTTTGACCAGCCTGTATAAGATACTCCGATACAACAAAATGATAATCTATTTGACAACATCTGAAGTGTAATCGTGCCAAAGTAGAACTTTTTCGAACGAATTTTGGCTGAGATATGGAGTTTTAAAGAGCATGTTGAAATTTACCAAAAAAAGTTTAACACCAAAATAACTCAAAAACGAAAAACGCTAGGTACCAATAACTTTTATCAAAGTCAACCTATTTTTTTACGTACAACTAAACTGTGTAATAAAAACTATAGTATTTCATTTAAAATAGCGAAGTTATGGTCTACTTCCGGTAGACCGGAAGTGGCGGCCATCGAGAAANATTCCATAGCTTTCTAATAAAAAAACCTGCATTTCGTGCATGTTTTAATAAATTTCGCAATATGAGGCAAACTACGATAAATAGGTATGGGAATGTTTATAATTAATTTGTAGAGAATTAAATTCTCTTTCTGATAGGATAAAAAAATATGGGGCGTTCCATTTAAAATATTCGACTTTCTCGCCATTGAATATGGAGAAAAGTAATTCAATTTTTGACCAGCCTGTATAAGATACTCCGATACAACAAAATGATAATCTATTTGACAACATCTGAAGAGTAATCGTGCCGAAGTAGATCTTTTTTGAATGAACTTTGGCTGAGATATGGAGTTTTAAAGAGCATGTTGAAATTTACCGAATTAAAAATAACTCGAAAACGAAAAACGCTAGGTACCAATAACTTTTATCAAAGTCAACCTATTTTTTTACGTACAACTAAACTGTGTAATAAAAACTATAGTATTTCATTTAAAATAGCGAAGTTATGGTCTACTTCCGGTAGACCGGAAGTGGCGGCCATCTTGAAAATATTTTAGATCGAAAGTTACGAATGAACAACCTATGCTACCAAAATTCCAAATCTCTACGAATAGTGGAACCTGAAAAAGTTCTAACGAACCAGTTACGTGAGACACCCTGTATAAAGAAAGTACGGAAAAGTGACTAACACTAGATTAACTTCAATTGTAAAACTTCTATTACATGATAATTAAATTCAGGTTTAAAATGTCAACCTCACTTTTGACATATTAAAAATCCTTTAAAATGACCAAACATGATATGTTTAAACCGGAAGTGATTGTATTTCCATTAATATTAAAGTTAAATATGTCAAGTTTGGACTCATTTCAAAGGATTTTTTATGAAGTAGACAAACATGTCAAAATTAAAAGTTGAAAGTTCGAATTTTTGGCTTTTTGAGATAAATGTGTCAAGTTTGGACTTTTTATGACTAAACCAGAATGTTTCTAGTTCTCGTTCTAGTTTTAGTTCAATAAATATATACAACATAGTAATATCTTATGCTAACTAGCGCTNTTTTATCAAAGTCAACCTATTTTTTTACGTACAATTAAACTGTGTAATAAAAACTATAGCATTTCATTTAAAATAGCGAAGTTATGGTCTACTTCTAGTAGACCGGAAGTGGCGACCATCTTGAAAATATTTAGGTCGAAAGTTCCGAATGAACAATCCATGCTACCAAAATTTCAAATCTCTACGAATAATGGAACCTGAAAAAGTTCTAACGAACCAGTTACGTGAGACACCCTGTATAAAGAAAAAGTACGGAAAAGTGATTAACACTAGATTAACTTCAATTGTAAAACTTCTATTACATGATAATTAACTTCAGGTTTAAAATGTCAACCTCACTTTTGAGATATTTGTAATCTTCATTAAAAATCCTTTAAAATGAGTGTAAACACGATATATTTATCTTCAATATTAATGAAGTTATGGTCAACTTCCGGTTAAGAATGTCAACGTAAGTTTTCAGTTATAATTATTATATTATTTTTGTATATTTGCTATCAGAATTTTATTTAGTTTCGATTTTCGAATTATCATCAACTTTGTTTTTTTAAATACGGACTCGAAATTTTTTTTCGGATGTCAATCATGTCAAATGCTTCTGATGTCCCAAAAGCATGACCTATATGAGTGCGGGAAGTTAGCCCCCCATTTTTTGATTTTTAAATTTTTTATTGTTGTTNAGCCAATGAGAGCGCTTAAAACCGCCGTAACCATGGCAACTATCCTCTAGATAGTTTATCAGGAAGATGGTAAAAGTGGGCCTTAGGCCCACTACCACCACTCATAGTTAAAGTCTCTGATAGAGTTATCTATCGGATAGCTTAAAAATTGGTTACTACCACTGTATTTATCTTATAGATACCGCTATCCAACGGATATCTTTTGAAATATCTGTAACCCGTCGATTGGGTGTCGGATAAGTTGCTATCTAAGCGATAACTGCGGATACCTAACCTCAAATAGAATTTATACTAACGTATAACATTCGAGCGTTTTACTATTTCGGTTAAAATAAGAAAAGTAATATAAACTTAAATAAAAAACTATTAATAATTAACATTAGATAAAATCATCATGGATAATTTCTTCGACATTGGAGATGAAGAACAAATTTTTGAAGCAATCAATGAATTATTTCCTATAAGAAGTTGACCATTTAAATATTCATTCATATGTTGAATTTATGACGAGATTTCGTCTCTCGAAAAAAAGTTTTCATCACCTTTTGAATCAAATAGAAGAAGATGTAATATAACCTCCATCCATGACCTAAGTAATTTGTTGATTGCTATTATTTAATGTAAAATTCATCAAAATTTTAGTAATAATGCTGTACCTCCTTCAAACCGTTTGTTGCTGACTCTTCGGTTTTATGCAATGGGTAACATGTTGCTATCCATAGCAGATTTTGCAGAAGTGAGTGTACAATTGGCATCTTCAGTCGTTCATCATGTTAGTTGTGCCATCACATTTTAACATACAATAATACGAGATATACATACTTTTTGCTTTCCTTGTCATGTAACTGCATCACTTTTTTTGTTTTCTATTACGTTTTTATGTTTGATAACAAATTCAAGAAGTTCGCATTCTTCTTTGATGAAATTGGTGGTTCGTCGCCTTTTCTCAGTCTCCATTTCCATATTTTAATTTTAAGGTTAGAACAGGTTAGAATATCGTCAAAATACCTAATAGTAGGTTTTTTGACCACATAGAGCTGTCAATTTAACATAATAGACCAAAAAATCCCTAGATTCCTTGGTTATCTCAAAGCTTTCTTAACTATGAGATAAATGGAGGTGGTAGTACGCACGACCCTGTTATCTACGAGATAAACTGTATCTTATAGATAGCTTAACTGACAGATAGCATTGGTTTGGTAGTAACGGGCCTTAGTCAAGTGATGTATAACGCAGTCCATTTATTATAATATGATAAAACACATAGATAATGTTATTTAAATTTATTTTTAAGTATAGAATTCAAAAACATTATGTTAAAACATCGATGTTTATGGATGTTTTCGAAAAAACGATTGTCTCCACGAAAGTTTGTAATGGAATGATCATGGAAAATAGCTTCGTAGAAATGCAACTCTCTAAACAAAAATTTCGTACTAAAAATTGAACGCATGTGGCGCCATCTGTTGGGGATATTTTGGAATTATTCAGCTAAGAACCGAACCACTAAAATACAGGTTGCATCGGGTTTATATATAAAAGCTCCAACCACAGAATAACTGTTTGGAAAGTAATTACGTAGTGGCTCCAATTAACGTTCCGACTGGTTGGGAATTCCTCAGATGTAATTACACCTGTCAAATAATGCCGCCACATTTGAATATCACGGCATCATATGACATTTGAGATTGCATCTGACGAGCTTCCAAAGCTATAATGTCAATTATAATCTAAGTATTTAATCATACCATTATTACTTTATTGTACAGGGTGGTTCAAATTCGATGTCCGAATAGGCTATCTCCGAAACTATAAGAGTTAGAAAAGAAATAGCTTACATGTCATGATCTCGTTTTTCGAGAAATTG